CCCTTGCCCTGACTATACGTCGGGGGTGAGGAGCAGGTTTTGGTGGGGGAGGAGGGTATGGTTCCCGCCTAGCGTCTCCGCCCCCCAGGACACGGAGGCAAATGCGTGAACTTTTCCTGTCCCACTGAGATGAGACCCTACCCAGGCACTGTCACTGGGGTCGCTCCTTTACTTTTGTAAAGCAAACATTCCCTGCCCTGTGAAGGAGGGATAAGTGTCCCTGGACCCCTTGCCTTGGGGGAAGGAGGTGAGGCTCAGAGGAGTCAAGTCACTTGCCCAAGGTCACCAGCATGGGAAAGTGGCAGGGTGGGAACTCGAACGCAGGCCTGTCTGGCTCCAGCTGTCACTTATGCTCCTGCCCAGGGCCAGCCCCCGGTCTGCCGCTCAGGAGCCCCTCAGCGCTGTCTGGGTGCTGTCCTGGCAGCCTGGGGCCATGCCCTGGCACGGAAGCCCTGGCCACTCGTTCCCCGGAAGTGCAGTGAGAGCAGAGGGAGCTGAGGGTGACTTTTGACCCCATTTTACAGAGCGGGAAACTGAAGCTTGGGGAAGGGCAGGCCTGCGTGGGGCTCCAGCCTCAGCTCTTTAGAGAAGCGGCTGTAAGACGGCCCTTGCCCTGGAAACACAAACTCCAACCCCGGGGTACCCAGTCTGGCCTGTGTTGGAGGTGGGGCAGCCCATGCTCCCCCCGAGGTCAGAGGTCAGAGGCCGGGCTGCCCTCTGCCCTGCGGTTAATCAGTCCACGGAGACGGGGCAGCCTCTGGGCAGGCCCATGGAACTGGCGCCGTGGTTCCCAGCCCCCTACCTCCAGCCAAGTTCAAGTTCATCTTGGCCATTACCTCATGTCTGGTTTCTGCTGGCAACCAGACTGACTCTGGGCGTGACCCTCCTGCGGCAGCCGGCTCCCCTCAGCCCTGCTCGCTCCTCCCGCCTCACCCAGCGTCTACCCGGCTCAGGGCCCAGTAAGGGGGGGCCTCCTCCCGCTTGTCCCAGGGAGACCGAGGCAGCGGGCCTGGGGGTGCGTTCTGGGCTGCAGCCCCCCCCTCCCCGTGGCTCTGGGCATGTGACTTAACCTCTGTGGATCATGGGGCTGGGGGGAATGAGCCCCATTCTGGGGGACTGATGGGAAAAGACACAAAGGGATGGCGAGTGACTGACCAGAGCAGGATCAATCGCATCGATCTGGGGTATTGATCGGGGGCGGGGCTGCGGCGGGCTGCCTGGCGGGGGAGGGGGAGGCAACCCGGCCAGGAACAAGGAGGTGGAGGCAGAAGTGCTGACTGGCCACAATCCGGCAGAGGCCACCAAGCTCCGTGCTTCCTCCTCCTCCCTCTCCCCATCTCCTCCCTCTGGGGGGCTCAGTGCCCCCCCAGACCTGCCCTCTCGAGGACACCCAGGTGGGGACCTCACCTCCCCCGCCAACCCATGCTTCCTTGAGAGTCTCTGCGCAATCTGTCACCTCCCTTCTGTGCCCTGGAGAGTTCCTTCCGACTCCCAGACAAGCTGTGCCCCTCCCTCATTCTAAACCCTTCCAGGGCTCCCCACTGCTCCCAGGGCAAAGCCTGAGCTGTCACTCTTTCACATTCCAGCCGTTTCCCCCCCTCCCCAAACACATCCTGCCTGGAACACCCTCCCCTCCCCCGCCAGGCCAGCCTTTGCCACCCAGCTCTGCTGCCCACCCTCCCCCAGGTCCCTAGAGGGGTCTCGATGGCCCAGAGAGGGAGGCTGAGAAGCACTGGGATCCAAGGCACTGCCCTTCCCTGCCTCGGTTTCCCTCCCCTGTGGCCAGGTGGGGTGGGGCTGCAGCCTGGGTTGGGATCCCCTGGCGGGTGGGAGGGTCGGCTCAGGAAGTTGGGAAGGCAAAGCCGGGCTTCCTCCCAGGCCTGTTTTATTAGCTTTGGCCTCTGAAGCAATTAAGACATTCCCAGCCTCCCGCTGGGAGGGACCCGGTGGGGGCGGGAGGGAGGCGCCAGCTCCATCAGCCCTGGGGGACAGAGGGCGGCCATGGGGAGCTCGAAGCGGGGTGTCCTGGGGCCAGGCTTGAAACCTCGACTCACTGGGGGACTCCCGTCCTGTTCCCCCGGGCTCCAGGGTGCAAGGTGCAGGGCAGGATACTTAATATCCGGTGTGTGGGGAGGTCTTGACCTCTGGGCGCCCTTTCTGGATAGAGCCCTTTCTCCAATGCCCTTCAAAGGTCCCCTGGGTGATGGGGTGTCCAAGGCCAGAGGAAGAGACTAGGGTTCAGAGCAGGCAAAACAGCACTGACTCCAGGACCCCCGACCCCAGCATGCTGATCTTCCCCAAACTCAGAAGCAGCCCAAGGCCCCTGCGCCCCCTCACCCGTGTCGTCCTCTGGCTGATTCCATGGAGTACAGGGGGGACCAGGGCCGATCAGGGCTCCCCGGCCAGAGGCTCCTTGGGGGCCTGGCTGACCCCCGGTGGGGCGGGGAACACTCGTCCTCCCCCCACACACTCCGGCCCTCCAGAGCGCCCCTAGCAAGCAGGCCAGCCGCAGACAGTCCCCCTGGGCCGGGGCGTGGGTTGCACCGGTGGGGCTGAGGATGGGGACGCAGACGTCTCCCCCCACCCCAAGCCCTGCCTCGGAGTCCACGGCACAAAACCTCCCGCAGCGGCTGGAAGAGGCGAACACGGCCCTTGGGATCCTCCCAGGGACCCCTGAACCCCACACTCTGCAGTTCTGGAGCTGCCGGGCGGCCCAGAGCTGGTTCCTCTGGGCTGGACCCTCTCGTCTGTTTTAGACCCTTCCAGCCCCTCCCCACAGGCCGGGGCAGGGGCTCTGGGGTCCAGCCACCACCGCAGACACGGGGCTGGTCATGCACTCCCGGCCCGCACTCGGCACGGGTGATGGGGCAGGCGGTGGGTGCTGGGACACTTCGGCTGAGGCTTCTCCCAGCTGCCAGGAGCAGGTCCCGGTCTGGACCCGCCAGAACTCTGCCCCCACTGCTGTGCAGCCTCGGGCAGCTCACTTCCCCTCTCTGAGCCTCCTCTGGTCCTCAACCAACCTGCCTGCCTTCCTGCCCACAACCCAGCTGCCGCGGCCAAGTGAACGCCACCCCTGCTTGCCCATGGCCCTGCCCGCCCTGTGTGTGGGGGCTCAGATGCTACCCTGGGAGGCCCCTGCCGTGAGTGGCCACCCCCGGTCCCTCTGGGCCAGCGGCACCCGGAAGGGGATGAAGGCTGGGGAGAGACAGAGTCCCAGCTGACAAGCTGTGTGACCCTGGGCAGATTCCCTTGCCTTTCTGGGCCTCAGTTTCCCCATCTATACAAATGGGTCCAGGGCAGTAGTCACCTTGGCCCCACAGCTCTGCAGTGACCGTCTCCTGGGAGACGCGCTAGGGGAGCGGCAGGCGGGGTGTGGGGTTGGGGGCTGCGCCACGCCCCGGGCCAAGGTGGAGGCAGACCGGGCCCTGCCGGGTCCCTGAGCCTCAAGGAGCAGCGAGCCGGGGCTCTAGGCCCGGGCAGGGCGTGGGGGGCTGGTCCCCGAGCCGGGGCTGTGGGCAGGCCCCAGCAGGCCCGCCTGTCCCTGAGCCCCCCGGCGGGCCCTCTGCCCTGCCCGCCCACCCCCAGCCGGCCTCTCAGCCCCTACCTGTCCCTGAGCCCCCCGGCGGGCCCTCTGCCCTGCCCGCCCACCCCAGCCGGCCTCTCGGCCCCTACCTGTGCCTGATAAATGCCCGCAGGATCCCTTGGTCCTAATCCCACAAAGGAACGGTTTGCAGGGGGCGTGCCGGGCGTAGAGCAGGCTGCGGGGAGGAGAGAGACCGAGAGCCCGTTAGCGAGGGGGCACGCGGGAGCAGGGGCTGCCCTGGGCCGGGCCCAGAGAGGGTGGCCGCCGCCCAGCGTCACACAGCCGGGCGAGCACCCAGCACCAGGGGCCTCCGGGCCTGCCGCCCTCCCCGGGCTGAACCGGGCCCCCCGAAAAGCCCGAGGTGGGCTTGGCGTGCGTGGGGGGAGGGGACGGGGCTCCTGACTGGAGGGGACCCAGGGTCACGGCTGAGCTCGCTAAGGCGGGGTGGGAGGCGGAGGATGAAAGACTCATAGCCCAGACACCGCCGGTGAGCTACCCGGGGCGTTCCACTGCCTGCCCCGTCCCGCCGCGCCGGCGCAGCGCCATCGGTCACGGTCACGGAGGGCGCTTTAGGATTGCGTCTTCCTCCCAAGAGCGCGGGGCCGGCGTCTGCATATGCACGCACGCGCGGTCTGTCACCTGCCCCATCACGCTCTGCCAGCCAGTGAACGTCACTGCCCAGGGCTGCCGGGGCTCAGGGGCCTCAGGCAGGCTGGGACCCTCCCGGGGGCGGGAGGGCGGCTGGTCACAGGAGGGTCCCCGAGTCCCTCTGGTGGCTTCAGCAGGGTAGATGCGCAGCTAGGAGCCCCGGCGCAGGAGAGGAGGAGGGAATCCGTGTTTATCCCACACCTATTAAGTGTCTACTGTATGCCGGGCACTAAGCATACAGTGCACCTACTCAGGAAGACTACTGTCGCTGCCGCGTGTGAGCAGAACGGAGGCCGCGAGGGCCGCCCGACGCTGTGCAGAATGTCCTCCCCGAGCCTCCCTGGTCCGCCCGGCTTGCGTCCCGCCGCCCTGCGACTCGTGCACTGGGACTGACCCCTTTTATAGCTGAGAAAACTGAGGCTCAGAGAGGGGAGGACGTCTGCCCGAGGTCACACAGGGAGGGAGCTGCAGAGGCGGGTTTGGGGGCTCACCCCTTCCAGTGTGCCCACCGGGGCCGGCGCTCGGGGGACGCGTGTCTCTGGGAGCCGGGGTGGACCTCAGAGGAGGGTGGACGGCCCACCCGAGCCTGTGCGGGGCGCGAGGAGAGCCACGGGGGGGTGGGGGGGCAGACCCCAGGACAGGGGTCCCGGGAGCCGATTCCCTGCCTGGGGCTGCCCGTGTCCGGGAGTGGGTGAGGGGGCTGCAGCGTCACCTGGAACCACACCTGGGGGTGGGGGCGCCAACGCAGGGCTCCCGGGCTCAGGTGGGCGGGCGAGGACGGTCCCAGCCCACGTGGCGCGAAGGCACTCGGGGCCCGGCGTGGCGCGCTCTGCGCCCGCAGAAGCCAGAGCTCTGCACGTCTTCATGTGCAACATCCCGATCTCAAAACGGCAACAACAGAATCTCACTTTCCGCAAACAAAGGCTATCTGGGGCTGGCCCTCGGGCCACCAGTTGGAGGCCTTAGTCGACTGCCACGCGGGGACTTCCAGAGGCCGCAGGCCACGGGGTGAAGGGGCAGACCCCGCCCTCACCTTGGCCTGTGGCCGGGCCTGCCGTCCCGGTGGCCCCACGCCGGCTGGACCACGTGGCCCCGGCCGTCTCCGCAGACCCACCAACTGGCCGGCTCCCGCCGGCCGGGCCTGACCTCTGAGCGCGGCAGTGGGCTGGGAAGGGGCGGGGCCCTGGGGACGTCCCCGCGGGGCACCCCTTCCCACGTGCTTACTGGCCAAGGTCTGTGACGCGGCTCCAGCCTCGGAGGCGGCGGTGGGTTTGGTGGCAGGGGGCGGCGCCAGCCGAGACAGCCCCGGGGGCGGAGGCGCCAGCGTCTGTGCGGAAAGGCAGTGGCTGGACATTTTGAGCTGACCACTTCCACTTAACTGGGGGACAGAGAGAACGTGGTTACAGGGACGGCGCCCCCTCCGCCTCGGCTGCTGGCGCCGGGCGCCCCCGGCTCTGTCCACGGCCGCCGGGGTGGCCGTGACCAGTGTGCTGGCTCTGAGAACGGCCAGCGGTGGGTCCCTGGGGCCACGTCCCCTGGGCAGGGGGGTTGCTGGGTGACACTCCCTGCGCTGTCCCTTAAGCCACCTGCTCCTTCCACACGATGCCACCTCCTCCTGCAACGCCTTCGTAATTCGCCAGGAAGCACGGTAGGTAGCGCGACACCACACACTGCGCCCCAGAACCCAAATCGGACACGCCCTGAACGCCAAGGGCGCCCTGCGGGGCTTCTCTGGTGGCTGTTTTCCGGTCGTGTCCACCCGCCTTGAGTGCCCTGCGGACACGGACAGGACCGAGGGTACCACCGGCGCTGGCCGGGCGCCTAGGGGCCGCACCGTCGCGGGTGTGCCGGAAACCCTCCCTTCTGGAAGATCTGAGTTTCAACCCGCGCCCGCTGACGCCCAGCGCTGGGCGGACGAGGGGCCGAGGGGCCGGCACGGATCCACCACAAAACCGCAAAACCGTTTAAAGCAGAAGCCGAGTGTGAGCGCAAGGCGCCCCGGAAGGTCGCCGGCCGCCGCCAGGAGGAACCCTCGCCCGCCCCACTCACCGGTCCCGGCTGCTGGCTGGCCGGGTCGCAGGCCAGCGAGACGAGATCTTTGAGCGGGTCCTGGGGGTTGAGATGAGGCGGGTAGCGGATGGCCGTGTGGGGGAAGTAGGTGGACGCCGTCTGGGGCAGGATGGACGTTGTGGGGAAGTGCAGGGCCGAGGACGGGTGGGGACTCCGGGCGATCCCTGCAGAGACAACGGGAGGCGATGGTTAGGGTGAGGGCTGGGGGTTAGGCTCAGGCTGGTCTCCAACTCAAGGCCTCAAGCGATCCTCCCACCTCGGCCTCCCAGAGTGCTGGGTTTGCAGGCATGAGCCACTGTTCCCAGCCTAAAAAACATTTTTAAAAATTTTATATAGAGATGGGGTCTTGCTGTGTTGTCCAGGCTGGTCTCAAACCCCTGGCCTCAGATTCCCAGAGTGCTGGAATCACAGGCATGAGCCATCGCTCCCAGCTATGTTGTTTTTTCTAACTGAGGACGACGTGGTGGCCCTCAGAGGACATGCCGCTTGCCCGAGGCCACACAGCAAGCAGATGGCAGACCTGGGAGTTGAACCGGGCCGTCTGGCCTCAGGGTCCATATACTACACCCGAGGTCAGCAAACTCTTTTGGTAAAGAGCCAGAGAATGAATATATTTTTAAGTGGAGAAAAAATTCGCATACCATAAAATTCACCCTGTTAAAGCGTCCAAATAGAAGTTTTCAGTATTCTCACGAAGTTATGCAGCCAACACCACTATCTAATTCCAGAACATTCTATTTCCCCAAAGGAAGCCCGTCCCCATCAGCAGTCACTCCCCAGCCCCTGGAGACCACGGACCCACATCCCGTCTCTGTGGCTCTGCCTGTTTGGACGTTTCATATAAACGGAGTCTCACACTGTGTGTCCTTCTGTGTCTGGCGTCTCTCACTGAGCACGATGTCCTCGAGGTCCCTCCACACTGTGGCCTGTGTCACAGCCTTGTCCCTGTTCCTGGCTGAGTGACGTTCCACTGTAATGTCTGCTTTTCCCTTTTTTCTAAACAGTTCAGTGATTTCCAGCCTATTCACTCGTCCGAGCAGTCCCTCCTCACTCCCCGTGTCCCCCGCCACGGGCCAGAGAGTCAATATCGTCGGCTTTGCGGCCACACGACTCTGTCCTGCCACCGCCGTGTAGAAGCAGCCAGGGGTGACATACAAATGGGCGTGGCCGTGTGTCAATAAAACTTTATTTATACGAACAGGCGGCCCGGGGGCTGTCACCTGCTGACCCCTGGCCCACATCACTGCACGGCTTTGATCTGTGCCTGCCTCCCTGCCTCCGTGTCTGCGTCCTTGTGTGGAACTAAGCAATTCACCATTAAAATGCAGGGTAAAAAAAAAAAAAAAATGCAGGGTAATAACCTGCACGATGTAGTAACTCCCACAATGCACCCCAATGAATCCTAATGACAGCCCTGGGAGGTGGGGACGTTTATTAGCCCCGACTGACGGGCGGGGGAATGGAGGGCCACGTGAACAGCAACCAGCTCAGCCCCGACCCGAGCTGCCTGATGTCTGTGTTCTTCTGTGACGATGACCCTGTGGGTCTCTGTGACTGTGGGGACCCCTTCCTCTGGGGACACGCCTGAGCCTGGACAGGCCCCGCCCCAGTCTCAGCATTGGCCTTGCGGCCTGAGAAATGGGCAGAGGGTGCAGCCCGACCCCTCAGGGCTCAGCTGGGCCGTGGCACAGGGGAGAGCGCTGTGGGCCGTGGCCGTACTGGCGGCTTCTGGCTCTGCCTGCCTGTCTAGCAGTGTCTGGGGCTGCAACGCAGGCTTCAGCCTCTTCTGGTACAGAAGGGGAAACTGAGGCCCAAAGAGGCTGAGCCACACCCCTTGGCAGGCTGGGAACAGGCCCTGGGTGCTGTCTACCACCGCACTTTTATGGATTTTTTTTTTTTTGAGACAGAGTCTCGCTTTGTTGCCCAGGCTGCAGTGCGTGCTATGGCATTAGCCTAGCTCCCAGCAACCTCAAACTCCTGGGCTCAAGCGATCCTCCTGCCTCAGCCTCCTGAGTTGCTGGGACTACAGGCATGAGCCACCATGCCCAGCTCATTTTTTCTATATATATATTAGTTGGCCAATTAATAGTAGAGACGGGGTCTCGCTCTTGCTCAGGCTGCTTTTGAACTCCTGACCTCGAGCAATCCGCCCACCTCGGCCTCCCAGAGCGCTAGGATTACAGGCGTGAGCCACCGCGCCTGGCCCTTTATGGGTTTTTGGTCTTGCTGGAAGGCTACAGCACCAGGACTCGTGGCCGGACATCTGGTGGGACTTCCTGGCCGACTGATGGAAGGGCCGCCGCCCTCCCCGCCGGGCCCTGGTGCTCACCGCTGTGCACGGCGATGACGGGCCGGTGGTGCTGGGTGAAGCTGGACAGGCGGGGGGAGTCCTGGGGGGACGGGCTGTTGAACGGCGACTTGTCCATCTCTGTCTTCTTCACCGGGGACGAGATGCCTGCGGGGAGCAGGAGGAGAGGGTCACGGGCGGGTGGCAAGGGCAGCACCGCCCGCCTGCCCGTCTCCTGCCAGAATCCCGGGGCACGGGGCGCAAGCCCACCGCACAGGGGAGCACGCCGAGGCTCAGCGCGGAGCCGGGGCCAGAGACGGGGGCTGCCCGGCGCCCCCAGACCTCACAGTCGGCTCCGGGCCACCCCCGCCCCTGGGGAGGGGGCAGAGGGTCCAAGGCCGGCGGGCCCTGACCAGCTAAGTCGCAGGGACGAAGCGGCTCAGGGCTCGCGTTCCGTGACCACTCGGGGGGAGGGACGGAGCCTTCCTGAGGCCTCCACGACACACGTCGGCCCTGGGCCGCTCCTACTGCATTGCTCCGCACGCACACACGCGTGCACACACACACGCACACGCACGGGGCCTCGCGACCCTTGGGAACCCCCAGGAGGCCGCAAGACCTGCCCTTTCCATAGAACTCGGAATCCCACAAACTCCGGACTTCCCACCAGGCGGTTTGGGGACGGCGGCTGAGGACAAAGGACAAGGCCACTGCCGTCTGTCACCCTTGGACAGGGGACGTTTTTCCAAGGATGTCCAGGGCCCTAATTTTCTGGGGGAAAGTCAGCTGCCCCGAGGCCCAAAGAACGTTATTACTGCAGGAGCCGTCACCGCTCCTACTGGGGTTCGGCGGGGTGTCCCTGACACCTGCCCCCCGCCTTGAAAATAAGCGAGAGCATGATAGGGCCCCGGTGAGGGCCGCCTGCAGGATTTCGGGGAGGCTGGTGGGAGTCGTGGCTCTGGAGCCGGGATGCCTGGGCCTTCCTGGCGCTGCCTTGGCCCGTTCCTCTGTAAAATGGGCACACGCTTCGCAGGGACCCCACACAGAGTGAGCACTTGCTCAAGGAGCCCCCCACCAGCGTCGGGTTGAGGACAGACCACCCCAGTGCCAGGCCGGGGCGGCCCCCTGGGAAATGGCGGCCTTCCCCCACGTTCCCCCACCCCCTCCGCCAGCGAAGCCATTTCAAGTGAGAGCTAAGCATCGCGGCTCGCCTTAGAAAATGCAGAGTCCTGGGCCCTGCCCGTCCCTGGAGTTAGAAACTCAGGGAAGTGTGGCTTGGAGAGCCACGTTTTTAGAAATGATTTTTAAATTTCATTTTAGAGGCAAACACATCTACTGAGACCATTCAGCCAGGGGACAGGTTTAGCTTCCCTCTCACCTGGCCCAATGTCCCCTAACGCTAAGGTTTCGCTCTCCCAGCTCTGGGGACACTGGGCCACATGGTCCCCTGGGCCGGGGCAGCATTCCTGGCCTCCACCCACCCCATGCCAGGAGCACCCCCAGTGTGACAACCACAGATGTCCCCAGACACTGCCCAGTGTACCCTGGGGATGGGGTGCCCCAGTGAGAGCCCATGGGGTCCCTATGTGTGTGCACCTGCAGGCATGCACGCAAGCGCAACACCCCACCCCTGCCCCCCGGCATCGCTGTCCCCACTCGGGGACTTCTCCAGCCTCTCCTGCGGCCACGGCCCAGGGTGAACAGAGATCCGGCCCCCAAGGGACACGCAGCTTGTCATCTGCCTTTGCTGTTAGAAACCTGGCTGCCCCCCCCCGCACGCGCCTCGATGGGTGGGAGTGAACATGTCGCTGGGCGGCTCCCTGCAGTGGGCTGGCAGAGCCGGGGACCCGTCCACACCTGCCCCGAGGGGAGCGGTGCTGAGGACGCGCACGTGGGGCACAGGGTGGAGGACCCCTCCAGCTGTGCCTGGCCTGTGGGGGGACGCCCGAGGCCCTGGGCGGGGTGGGCCCGGAGGCTGAGCCCCCCAGGGAGGCCCGGGGGTGGGGGAGGCCGGTCCTGTAGGCTGTTTGTGCACATGTGTGTGCACACGTGTGTGTGTGTGTGTGTGTGTGTGTGACCGTGCCGGGGGTGGCGGCCCCCTGCCGGCACCCGGCCTCGGCGGGAACGAGGTTAGGGCTGTCCAACACTCACTTAGGAGGATTTCCTAGAACAGCTTGTCCTGGATGGAAAGTCTGGCTCGGACCCCGCCTCCCGCCGCGACATCCTCGCAGACACTTCTAGAGCTTCCTGAGATGCCGCGGGAGCCAGCGCAGGCCAGGCGGGAGGGGGAGCCCCGCCCCGCCACCTGGAGTATAACCCTGCGTGCTCCCGGGCGGGCGGGAAAGGGACAGACTCCGCACCCGCGCAGGAGCATCCCCCCCTGTGCTGGAACCCCCCTCCCCCCGGCTGAGCGCGCCCCAGCGGCCGTCGCTCTGCTCAACAAACAGCCATCCGTCCCACCCGGCGTCCATCTGTGCCCAGCAAACAAGCCCACGCCCCTCGGAAAGGCCTGCTCCCTGGTGGGGACAGAACCGCCCGGGGGAGGACCCCCTGGGAGGACACGGCCCACACGCATGTCATGTTCCTTCTTCGCCTCCCCCAGCCCGGCGTGGGCGGGTGGTCAGGGGAGGCCCTGCAGGACGTGCCCAGGAGAAAGGGCCGAAGGATCCAAGGCCCAGAGGCTGTGGGGCCTGCAGGGCGTGGCTGCGGGACCGGCCTGGCATGGGGCTGGCACGAGCACCCCAGGCCTCTGCCCCGCCAGGCAGCCGCTGGCAGCAGCATGCGGCAGCAGAGAGCAGGGCGGGGACCAGCCAGGCGGCAGCAGCCCCTCGGCCACTGCAGGGGAAGGAGAGCTGCTCTAATCAGCTTAGCCCGCTAATGAGCGGCTAATTGGGGGATGTCTAGACAGGAAGCGGGGCCGCTGGGGCTCACTGGTGGAGGAGGAGGAGGAGGAGGAGGAAGAGCATCCTAGGAGTGTGGCTAGAAGCTCAGGGCACCTTTGGGTTGCCAGCATTGGGCATGAACCCTGCGCTCTGCCCCTTCCCTGCCATGGGACCTCTGGGCCTCAGTTTCCCCAGGGGCGGCACCAACTCCTCAGTAGAGAGCGGCAGGGAGTGGCTTCGCACATCTCGGGAGCCCCATAAAAGGCAGTGAGTGAGGTGGCCTGGTTCTGTGTCCCTGTGCACCTGCTTGCTGCTGGGGTGGCCTGGAGCAGGTGATGTCGCCTCTCTGAGCCTCAGGGCTTCCCTCTGCAAAATGAGGTACCTGCTGGTCCTCACGGCAGGGCTGTCTGGGACCAGAACAGTCAGGAAGGGGTGTCCGGGAGAGGGTGGCCAGCCTGGGGCTCCACAAGGCGACCGCAGACCTAGGGTCACGCGCCTTCCCCTCCCCGAGTCCTCTGCTCAGGCCAGTGGCCATCCACAGGGGCGATTCTGCCCTCCAGAGACATTTGCCAATGTCTGGGGACATTTCTAGTTTGTCACCGCTGGGGGGTGCTCCTGGCACGGAGTGGGTAGGGGCCAGGGACGCTGCTCAGCAACGGCAGGGCCCAGGATGGGCCTCATCACAGAGAACAATCTGGCCCGAATGTCCACAGTCCAACTCCCCCCGCAAACGCGGTTCCCTCTGCTGGGAATGCTCTTCCCTCACTTCCCCTGAGGATGAACCCACTTACATCAGCACGGCTTAGCTGTGACTTCAAGAAAACCCAGCTCCCAGGCCCCAAGCGCATACTTTGTGCCCTGCCCCGGCCCAAGGGTATAAAAGTCTTCCAGCATTTTCTTCCCCACTCCTCCCAGAGGAGGTCCCACTGGGATCCTGATCCTATAGAAGAGGAAATTGAGGCTCAGAGAGGTTAAGTAACCAGCCAAAAGTCACACAGCTGGAGATGCAGAGAAGCCAATTGCCCAAACTCCTCATTGCTCTGCCTCCCTGAACCCCCTCCTCCAGGAAGTCCTCCCTTCTCTTGCCAGGCTGCACTGAGGTCCTCCTACGTTCCCCTGAAAGTCCTTCACGCCTCCTCTTCTTGGCTGTAATGGCCTAGATACGAAGCCATCTCCAAAACTAGGCTGCTAGCCCCTAGCAGGCAGGGACAGGGGTGGGACGGCTCATCTCTTGTCCTCAGGGCCTCGAGGAGGGTCAGCACACGGAGGGGTTTACCCTGAGGACAAGAACCTCAGAAGGAAGTGAGTCTGCCAATACCTGAGTGACCAAGCGGATGCTGGAGGGGACACACCTCTGACATTTCCTTCTGGCTCTGGTGTGATTCCAGGTGGCAGGGGCTTCCTCTGTGTCCTCCTCCGCTGCTGCCATGTCTTTCCCGTTGGGGGGTTGTTGGGGAGCACCAAGGCGGGAAGGTTGGACTGCGTCCCCGTGGCTCTAACACCTCCCCTCTTAAAATTCTGTTTTTCTTTTTTGAGCTTTGTGAACTGAAAGCTAGGTTCTTTATTTTCAACCATTCTCTTTTTCTAATTAATAGACTCAAAGCTATGAGTTTTCCTCTTGGAGCTGCTTTGGCTACATCCCATGGGCTGGCCCTCAGCTCTAAATGGTATGCAATTGATATTTTGATAGCTTTTCAATCACAGAGTTTATGACAAGTGCTTTTGAGATCCCAATCAGTAAATGACAGAATAGAAACTAAATGTCCCCCAATATCTGCTCTCCCCTTCTTCCTTACTAACAGAACCCTTGATTTTGAGATGGGCATATGATTGCCCAGAATAAGACTACATTTCCAAGTTCCCTTTGCAGTCAACTATGGCCACATGACTAACTCCTGGGCATAGGGATAAACAGAAGAGGTAGATGCTACTTCTGAGAATTATTCTTAAACGCAGAGTGTGTGACCAGACGTGACCCCCTTTTCTTGCTGGCTAGAATGCAGGCATGATGGCTGGAGCTCCAGCAGTCTTTTTGGACCAAGAGGTAGGGATGACAACTATGCTCAGTGGAGCATAAGGCAGGGGCCTGAGTCCCTTGCACCACACTTGCCCAGGGCTGCTGATGGCTGGATTTTCACTTGTGAGAGAAATGCATTGTCCTTTGGGGGCTTCTGTCTCTCACAGCAAATGTGAACTTACTGAATACAGGGTCTTTATGGAGAAAAACCTGGCAGAGATGGGGAACCCACAGGGACAGAACCATAGAGACACTATGGTCCATAAGTTAGAACCTAATAAATGGAGAGACAGGTCTTTTGAGAGATTAGGGATTCTTTAGGGATGTACCTGCTCTAGGAGCCCACCCTGTACAAGAGGGAGGACCCTTAGGAGCTAAAATGTCACAACAATGTGCATCAGAGACTGAACTGAAGAGATGGGAATTTCACAGACATGGACAATAACACACTCTCCTGTTTCCTGGGCGTTTCTCATGAGCTAGACGGTTGCTCCTCCCACATCTCCCAGAGAAGAATCATCATTCTCATCACTCCCATTTTGGAAATGAAGAAACTGGGCCTTGGAGAAATTAAATTACCTGCCCGAGATTACACAGCACACATGGCTAATTGGTGGCAGAGCTGGGATTTGAACCCAGGTCTGTCCCATGCCTGAAAATCCTACGGCATGAAACCTTGCACAGACAGATCTTTATGAGAATGCATGTCCTGTAGGTCCAGGGAGAAAAGGGAGAGGAGGGGGAAAGAAAAACTCTCATGTTTATTGGGTGCTCACATGCCAAACTTCTTTTACGAATGTGAGATATATTACTTCACTTAATCCTCACAACAACCCTACAAGAGGGGCACTGCAGGTACAACATTCCTATTTTTCATTCCTATTTTACAGAAGTGGAAACTGAGGCTCAGAGAGGTGGGGTCACCAGGAAGCTGCAAGGGCTGGGCTATGTACGCAGGCAGGTGGACTCCAGTGTCCACGCTTGTAACCACTGGGCCACCCCATGGGGTCCTTGCAGATGGATGGAGCTAGTGTGCAACAGGAAAAGACCCTAGGTTTCCTTACAGAGGGCTATTAGGACAAATAAATAAAATAATAAAATAAAAAAGAATAAAAAAGAAAAGAAAAAAAAAGAAAAAGAAAGACCCTGTGGGCCGGGCGAGGTGACGCATGCCTGTAATCCTGGCACTCTGGGAGGCCAAGGCAGGCGGATTGCTCGAGGTCAGGAGTTCTAAACCAGCATAAGCAAGATCGAGACCCCATCTCTACTATAAATAGAAAGAAATTAATTGGCCAACTAATATATATAGAAAAAATTAGCCGGGCATGGTGGCGCATGCCTGTAGTCCCAGCCACTCGGGAGGCTGAGGCAGCAGGCTCACTTGAGTCCAGGAGTTTGAGGTTGCTGTGAGCTAGGCTGACGCCACAGCACTCACTGTAGCCTGGGCAACAAAGCGAGACTCCGTCCTCCCTCGCCAAAAAAAACCCCAAAAAACAAAAACCCTGTGGAGCTGCTGACCCTAAGGAACAGGAACCCTACAAGAAAGACATCTGGAGAGGAACCCCCATGAAGACAGAAGCGCAACAGAACAAAAATCTCCCTGGAAAAGGGCGCTGTGGGAATGGAGACCCCATAGGAAAACAGACGGGTCTGTCATAGAACTGGGGTCCTACGGAGGAAGATGCCACGGACATGGGAACCCTGCGAAAAACGAACTACAAGAAGGGATCCTACATCCAAGGACCTTCTAGCGGGGAAGAGGACAAAGATGAATCTTGCAGATGAGGGAGGCTATGGCAGACCCCAGGAGGAAGCACCCTGTTCCTCAGAATTGCTACCGAGCCAATCCTGCAGCTCAGGAACCCGCAGAGACGAGGCCTGAGCAGGTGGAGGACGGGAAAGTCCAGCAAGGGGCAGACTCCGCCCTCCCCGGCCTGAGCGGAACCAAAGAGCTCCGGGAACGTGAGCCCCAGCTTCCCTTCCAGCAGCACGCAGTCGGCGCAACTACAACTCCCAGGAGGCCCCGCGGCGCCAGGCCGGCTTCCTGCCCCGGGCACCCGCGCATTGCCTGCCGGAATACGTAGTCTCCGCCGCGGTAACAGTTCCCCCCCCCCACCGGAAGTTCGCTCCGCCCCCGCTGCCAGCCCTACCTCCTTCCATGTCCTCTGTCCAGTTGCGGCTGCTACTCGTGGGAGAGCTGGGCGAGGTGTAGTAATCGCCGCCGGGGCTCGTGTCCACATCTTCCTCCATCGAGCCCGATTTGTGCCGCTTGCTCCTAAGGGGCCAGGGACGGAGAGGCTGGTTACCAGGGAGACGCAGGGCCGGGAGGGGGCGGGGCGCGGCAGCGGCGGCGCGCTTTGCTACTTCCGGCCCCTGGAGGGGAGGGGCGAGGGAGGTGCTATCGCGAGACCTCACGGGAGCCGCAGAGGTTCAGTCTGTTCTTGGTTTGCACCTGTTCCAACCTGCCCCTGGCTTGGATGGGACACCCGGAGCCAGGTGCGGGGAGGGGCTCAGCGGAGGTCATATGCCAAGCTAGCAGGGTGGAGACCAAAACCCGGGCAGCTTGGGTAATCACGGCCCACTGTAATACGACAATCTAGGGGGATTATGAACCCCATTTTATGGATGGGGAAACTGAGGTACACACAATGTGACCAGCTCACTGTCACCGCGCATCTCTCAGCAAGAACCTGTGCCTGCATGCTCAGGGGGTCCCAAGGTGGGATGTCAGGGCTTTTGGGGGCAGGGTTTTGGAGGATGAGTAGGAGTTCCCCAGGCCAGGTGACATGTGTAAACAGGTATCCCAGGGAAAGTCATGAGCCAGCTGAGGCCAGAGATGGAAGGGGTGGTGGGTGGGGTTGTGACACGCCCAGAGATTGGGACCTGAGCACATACCCGCTGGAGGAGGTGCTGGGTAGTGTTCTTCTCATGCCGGTGCTGGCTGGATTCAGGTCGTACGCCAAGTGTCCCTGCAGCTCCCCCAGGGAGAAGTTGGGTCCTGTTCCAGTCACCACAGGTGCTGCAGAGGGCAAGAAAGGAGAATGAGGAAGGGAGCAGGGCCCAGGGCGGTGGTGTGCCCTAGAGGGGCGGGGAGAGCCATCGTGGCAGTCCACCGGGGACTTCTTCCCAAACTAGTTCCCAATATGGCTGGAACCGGCCTTATTCTAGGAATCAGAAGACCAAGGCCGTGGAGAGAGGCCAAGTCTGCACTGTGAGGTGGAGGCGTAGCCAGAGCTGGAGGCCAGATCTGGACCGGGAGGGTTAGGCAGGACACTGCCCAGAACTCCCTGGGGTGGGACCAAAACGGGGCTGTCAGGGGAGTGTGTTGGGACCCCAGCAAGTCCCCAGGGCAGGCAGGGAGACAGGAGGGGTGGGCCCTCTGAGGTGGGGTGGCGGAGGCCCCAGGAAGGAGGGATGCTGGGGTGTGAGGTTCTTTAGCAGCCTCCGCCCAACATCTGGATCCTGTTTCCTGGGGAGGTGGCATGTCACCCTGACCTTGGGCTCTGCGAAGAGCCTGGCCACCTCCCTTCTCGGGAACCCTGGCTTGATGACACGGGGTGTCTGCAGAGGACAAGGGGGCGTAGGGTGAGGGTGGTGGGCTCCTTCTTCCTATGAAGCCCCTCCCCTCCCTGGGTCCCAGCTCAGGGCTGCTGATGGGGACACTCACTCCGGGACACTTGGATGAGCTCAGTGACACTGAACACGCCGGAGGTGACAAAGCTCTCCTGGAACTCGGTCGTGTCTGCAACAGGGAGAGGGCCAGGTCAGCGGGCGGTGGGCCGAGCCGGTCCTGTGTCCCTTCTCTGCACCCCAGGGCTGGCCCTGCAGCCCGGCAGCGAGGGGACGGCCAGCCGCGCCACCCCCTTCTCCAGGGAGGCCCATGGCAGCCCAGGTCCAGCCTGGGCCTCCACACCGCCGCCTGGCCTTCCTCGGGCCCGCTCTGGGGCAGGCTGCACTCCAGAGTGGAGAGCGGGGGCCGGACCCAGGTTCAAATGGTGGCTGTGTCATCCCTTCGGTGGTGATCTTGGGCAAGTCACTCCCCGTCCCTGAGTCTCGGTGTTCTCTAATCTCAAAAACGGAGACCACAAACCCGTCTGGGTGGTCGTGAGATCCGAATCCAGCTCCCTAGGAGTGGGCTGGCTTTGCATCACCGCCACCCTTGGCGACACTCCCCAGGGTGGAAGCTCCGTGTGGGCAGGGGCGTGTCTGCCCAGACCCTGCAGTGTCCCCAGTGCACAGATCAGAGCTTGGCGCCCAGCAGCGGCTCAGAACCAGGGGTTGGACGGGGCGGCCCAGAGGCGGCAGGCACCCCCCCTGCCCCGTGGCCCCAGAACCTCTCCTGCCTAACATCAAAGGAGGGACCCTCCTCCCTGAACCCGAGTGGTTTGAACCCAATTCATGGATTTAAAAACTGAAGTTGGTCCAGAGAGGGCAGGAGCCTTGGGCAACCTCAGCCAGCTTGGGGACAGGCCTGTCCCAGCCCCAGAGGCCCTTGCAGGAGGGATCCATTCAGTCAGTGGGCGTGTCCGAGCACCTGCGCTGGGCACTCGCACGGCGGGGAGTGAGCCGGGCGGCAGTGGCTGCTCTCCTGGGACTCACGGTCCAGCCTGGGCGACAGAGACCACACGAGATTCACGAGTGAAAAACACACCTGTCCCCGGGTGTCTGTAGCAGCAACAGCCCCACCTGGGACACAGCCCCAGTGCCCGTCAACAGATGAGCGGACACACAGCGTGGCCCATCCACACATGGAGTGTCACTCAGCCACGAAAAAGGACGAGGCTCCGACACAGGCCACAGCGTGGAGGGACCTTGAGGACATCATGCTCAGTGAGAGACGCCAGACACAGGAGGACACACAGTGTGAGACTCCGTTCACATGAAACACCCAGGACAGGCAGATCCAGAGACGGGACGTGGGTTCGTGGGTGCCGGGGCCTGGGTGGGGGTAATGAGGGTGACTGCTGATGGGGACGGGGCTTCTCTCTGGAGTGATCAGAATGTTCTGGAATTAGAGGTGATGGCTGCACAGCTCTGTGACTGTACTTAATGCCATTGGCTTGTATACTCAAAAATGGTTAAAATAATACACTTTACGTTGTACATATTTTACCACCAATTTTTTAAAAATAAAAACTAAGGCAAGGCCAGGTATGGTGGCTCCAACCTGTAGTCCCAGCATTCTGGGAGGCCGAGGTAGGGAGATCTCTTGAGCCTAGGACTCTGAGACCAGCCTGGGCAACACAGCAAGACCCCTTCTCTACTAAAAATAGAAAAATTATCCAGACGTGGTGGTGCCTGTAGTCCCAGCTACTCAGGAGGCTGAGGCAGGAGGATCACTTGAGCCCAGGAGCTGGAGGCTGCAGTGAGCTGTGATGATGCCACTGCACTCCAGCCTGGGCGACAGAGCGAGACTCCTTCTCAAAAAATAAATAAAAACTAAGTCAAATGTGAGGTGTGTCAGACAATGGGAGGCAGCAGGGGTGTGGAGCCAGCCGGGGAGGCGGGGTAGGGGGTGGGCCAGGTGGGAGGGCAGCTATTTTACTCCAAGACCTCAAGGTGGGCAGGCAGATCAGAGAAATAAACTTGTTAAAATTTGCAAAGCGCCAAGAGCAGGGCCTTGGCGACAGCCCTGTGAATGCTGGCCTGTGTTCCCTGCGGTGGGAATGGCCTGTGCAAAGGCCCTGGGGTTGAGACGCACCGGGCACGCTGCAGGAGCCGGAGCGTGGTCAGAGGGGAAGTGGGACGGACAGGTGGCGGCCAGCTCTGGGTGGCAGGGGCCAGTTCCTCTCCCGGGCCCCAGGGGGCAGCGCGGGCCGCAGGGAGCTCCTGGCCCTGTCCCCAGACCGAGTGTCCCGTCAGTCCCGGGACCCCTGGGCTCCCTGCTGCAATGGCTGTGCCGTTCACTGAGCGACGACCCCGTGCCCGGCCCTGAGCTGGGAGGCCCAGGGCACGGCAGCCCGGGCTGGGGGACGGGGCAGTGGTCCCCGAGTGTCCGGGGGAAGTGGCCGCAGCCGTTTCCTGCTGACCCAGCCGGCCAGCTGGTGTCAGCGCGGCCCTGCCCCCGCCGGGGCTTCCTGTTTGTGCAGCGCCGCCCTGTCCTGCTCCGGGGACTCCCTGGCGGGGACGCGCTTTCCTCGCCAGACACCCAAGCGCCCCCCCGCCCCCCCCAAAACCGGCCGGGAAGGAAAACCCGAAACCCCGCAAGGGGGCCGGCCGGCCCCGAAAACAAAAAAAAACGCAACAAGGCCAACCAAGAAGGGCCCGCCCGCGAGCCTCCTGCAGCCACCCAGCGGCTGCTCGGCTGTCCTGGCCCTGCCAGTGGGGGCGGGGGCGCCCACTCGCTTTCCCTCCCCCTCCTGTCCCCAGCGTCCTCTCTCCCTCCCGCTCTCCTCTCTTGCTGCAAAGATGCAGTGAGCACCTGCTGTATACCAGGCCCCATTCTAGGCGCCGGGGCCACGACAGTGACCGCCACAGACCAAACCTCTGCCCTGGCGGAGGTGCCGGTCCCCTGGGGCAGATGAGCGATGGGGACGCAATCACTAACTTCCTCTGGGGACGTGAGGCAGAGGGCTGGGAGTGACTGAGTGCGGCCAGAGGCTGCCAGAGGGGAGGGCGCGGGGACCTGTCTGAGAAGGGGACAGTGGCGCTGAGGTCTGGGGAGATGGGGGGAGAGAGACGGCAGTTAGCTGTCCAGATGGAGCACAGCCCATGCAAAGGCCCTGGGGCAGGACGTGCCTGGCGTGTGGGAGACTCAGCGAGGAGGCCCGTGTGGCTGAAGCAGAGTAAGGAGGGGGAGAGAGGGAGGAGGGGAGGGCAGGGAGGGGACAGGCAGGTCCTGCAGGGCCTTGAGGGCCTCAGGGAGGACTTGGGCTTTGATTCGGAGGGAGGTGGGAGCCATGGAGGACTGTGGGTACAGGAGGGACAGGCCCTGACTCAGGTGCTCACAGGCGCCCCCTGGCTGCAACAAGGACAGATGGCAGAGGGCAAAGGTGGGAGCCAGAGACGGGGTGGGGGGTCCCCACTGGTCTAGGTGGATGATGATGATGATGATGATGGCGGCTGAATCCTCCCTCCTCCCCAGGGCTCTGCCCCAGGCAAATGCCCCACTCCCCGCCCCCAACGCAGAAGGGACTCTGTGACATCCCAGGCACTGCAGAGCCCTCGGGGGTCCCCTGGGGAGCCCGACACTCACAGGCCCCCAGCCCCCGGCTGCCTAAGCCTCAGTCTACCCATCCGCAAACAGAGCGGGAGCAGCATCGGCGAGGCTCCGGCCGCAGGGCTCGCAGGCCGCGCTCAGCAAGGCGCCTGCACGGGAGACGGGCACTCACCCAGCGTGATGGGCTTGCTGTCCTCCTGGTCCGCGCCCATCCCCGCCCGGGGGCTGCCGCTCTGCTCCGCGTCTGCAACGAGAAGGAGAGGCGCTGACACCAGGCAGGGCCCCGGCCCCAGGAGGCGCCTGCCCAGGCACCCTGCAGACACCCGCTCAGGCCATGGCGCGGGTCCCCGTGCTGGAGCGTGGCCGCCCCCGTCCGCAGGGCCAGCTCAGGTGCACGTAGGAGCCGGCACACGTGGAGTCTTGACAGACCCGGGTTCAAATCCCAACACTGCCACTTTCTTGCTGTGTGGCCCTGGGCAAGTCACTTGCCCTCTCTGAGCCTCGTGGAAAATCATAACAACGCCTGGACTCCTGCCTTAGCCCTGTGCGGTGGGATCTATCATGACACTCGTTTTACAGACGGGGAAACTGAGGCCAGAGAGGTGAGTCCTGGGGCTTTCGGGGGCTCTGGTCTCAGCCTCTGCCCTGCAGTCCCGTGTGCCCGGCCCTTGGTCTCAGGTTGCCATTCGGGGTCCCCAGAGACAGGCTGAGGGTGGCCCTCTCTGACTGCCGTACCCGCACCCCGCCTCCCGCCTTGGCTGGGGGCTCCTCCGCCCCAGCGCCCCCCTCCATCTTATCTAAAAATAATCGCTCCTTGGCAGGCGGAGACGCAGACAGACGCTGAGCTCAGCGCTCTCTCGCTGAAGCCTGGCTGGGGGACCGGGCGGGCCACCCCTGCCGCAGCCCTGACCCTGCAGCCGGACTGGAGCTGGGGGGGACGGGGGGGGGGCAAGCCCAGCCAGGCAGCCCTCTCATCTGCCCCCCAGGTCAAAGATGAGGGTGGTGACAGTCACCATCGGAGGCCGAAGGAAGAGAACCAGGCCCCTCCCACCGGCCAGACCCCAAAGCCACCAAGCAATTGCTGTGTGAGCCCAGGCCGGTTGCACGGCTGTTCTGCGCCGCCGGTTCTCCTCTTCCGAGTGGCCACGAGCACCGCCCAGGCCTCATGGGATTGCCAAGAGGTAGGCAGGGGACTCCAGGGCCTGGCTTTGGCTCTCGCTCCCCGGCCGGGCCGGGAGGAGGCGGACGTGGCAGGCGGCAGCGCCAGCGACATTTGGAAGCCGGGATGGCTGGGAAATGAACGGGCGAGCTCGGCGCGGCAGCCGGGGGTCCCGGGGTCCCCAGGGCCTCGGCTGGGGCCTGAGCGGAACTCCGGGCTCCCCGCCGGCCCGCCGGGCTTGGAAGACGCGTGGCCGCGGCCCTGGCAGGTCCCCCGCTCCTGCGTCCGGGAGAGAAACGGAACGCCACCGCGCTGTCCTCCCCCAGGCCACCGTCCTGGACGGGCGCTGTGCGCGGCCTGGGCCCCACGTCCCCACGGGCTCCCCGGAGGCCGCGAGTCGCTCGGCAGCCCGG